ATGTTGCAGGCTTTGGTCAGTAATTAGCCAGGGCTATAGGCTTTAAGCTCCATGGATGGGCAAGTCTATAAGCAGGACCCAAAGGTCTCATGGGGAAATGGTTTAGGCTTCATGGTTATTCAGAGACAGAGGCTATGCTCAACAGTGGGCTGGACATCTGCCTTTCCTTCCTAACTGAGAGGAACTATAGTTTGGGCTGCTCAGCTTTCCAGATTCTCTTGCTAGGTATTACTGGTGGCTATATTTAGCAGTTGGGAAGGGCAGTAAGTTTGCTTCCCTACTAAGGCAGGGCTATAGTATTAGTTCCATAGTCAGTATGCTGGATACCCAAATTGGACAGAACTGCCAGCCAAGATTGTTGGCCAGATAGGGCCACCCCTTTGCTCTGCAGATAGGCAGGACTGTTGGCTGGGATCTCTGTTCAAGTGTTGCTGCAAAAAGGAATATGGTCCACCAAAATCTAAGTATTTGTTACCTCTTTCTCCATCTTTATCTGATCTCCGATGGGCAAGCCCTACAGATTTCTCAGTGATCCCAATGAGGTAATATGTGAGTGGGCCACCTGGGGAGCATCCCACATCTCTGAGTAGCTGGATTTCGTTGGGCTTCTTTTACTTTTGGAAAAGGCACAGACCCAGAGGGCCCCCTCATTGGAGCATTGTGGGAAACTCCTCAGGGAAAACTGATGTGGTTAAAGTGAAATTGTTCATCTTACCCTTCTAATACAGTCCTCCATCTCTGTGGTCCAGTGTAGTGTATCTTCCTCACCTTTGGGTTCTTGGATTTTTCAACAGTGTCTTGTCTCTGAATAGTTTATGGCTGTTTGTCTTGTGAGGGAGCCTGAAGTTGGAAGGACATGTTGCCATTTTATGATAGCACCTCACATGAATGCAAGATGCATAATGGCAACCTATTTCAATTCTGGTAATGGTGGTTGTATTTTCTCCATTTTTCTCTTTGTTAGAGTTGTTGGTTTTATCAATTTTATTTTACATTTTATTGATGTTTTTTAAGAACCAGATTTAAAATTTTCAATTAGTTTTCTCTATTATTTTCCTTTTCTCAGTTTCATGGATTTCTGCTCTTCCTGTATGTTTTCCTTCCTTCTATTTGCTTTGGGTTAATTTTCTCTTCCATTTATACTGTATGTATGTACAAATTTATCAGTTGATTAGACGTTTTCTCTTTCTAATGCATTTCAGTCCTATAAATTTCCCTTAGCCCTGCTATAGAGGCATCCCACAAATTGTGATGTTCTGTTTTCATTTGCAAACAGTTCCATGTATTTGTAAATTTCCTTTGAGGTGCTTTTGATTCATGGATTATTTATAAGTGTGTTTTTTAAATCTCTGAGTGTTTAAGGATTTTCCTATTGCCTGCTATTAATTTATAATTTGGTTCTATTGTAATCAGAGACACACTCACATGATTTTGGTTATTTTAAACATGCTGTTTGTTTTATAGTCTAGTATATGTTTTTCTTGATGAATATTCTATGTTTGTTTTAAAAAACATGGTTACTTGGTGTCAGCAGGGATTCTCATCATTCCCTTTTTTCAGTGCCTCCAAGCTCACTTGGTATTGTCACTAGGAGTCCTTTTTCATCTTGGAATACATTCTGCTAGGTTTGCTGCTGGGAAATGCCCAGTTGCTCTCTTGCTCTGTTCTTTTCCAGGTTGCCTTCTTCTTTCTATATTTTATGCCTTCTATTGTCTCCCCTTTATTTCTTTAAAGGATTTATTTATCTCCAAGGAGATATGAGTCCATGGCAACTCATCTGAACTGGAAGCCTAATTTGTATTTTTTAAAACATACTTTTCTGCATGTAGAATCTATTACAAGGACTAGACTGAATGTAAAGAAAGTAATCAGGATGCTACCACACTAGTCCAGGTAACAGATGGTTGTGTTTTAGACAGAAGTGGTAGCAGTGAAGATAGAAACAAGTGAATCAATTTTGGAGACAAAACCAACAAGATGCACTTGTGTATTGACTCTGACGACTTCTGGCTTGAACAACTGAATGGACTGAAATGCCTCTCAATTGTCAAAACCATCTTTTATGTCCTCACTGGGAGTAAACTCACCACAAAAATACATCCCTTTCTGAAATACATAGGCTTGACTTTATATTCCCAAATCTGGAGCAGAATTACACACCCAGAAGAAATGTACATCAATCCCATATAACTCTCTTCGACTCAGATTCTGGACTGGGACCAAGCTAACAACCACTCAGTTGCATGCAAATTATAACTATTGACTGGAATCTCTAGAGTGTACTAGGTTTTCAGTAACCTCCATGTTAATAGAAGGCCAAAAGAGTTATGCTGTTAAGTGTATTGATTATGTAATGCCTTAAATACTCTAACATTTCTTTTAAAAGTAGCAATTCAAATCTTTGTCTTTACCTCCTGCTGTGTTTCTGAGATTAGCAGTAAAGCCCTCCAGAAAGCCACAGAACATAGTAAAGCAAGATAACTCACAAACTCTGACTTTTTTCTCCTCCAACCTTTAACATTACATGACAACTGAATACCAGTCCTGTGAGATTTACATTTGATATTCAAAGGGATGTTAACTAAACAGACAGGTGGTCTAGAAAGACAGAAAAGTTGTAGTCAGTACAGATACAAAAGATGGAGATTAGTGAAGGTTTCCATGAAATAGTAAGAAGGAACAGATATTTGGAGTCAAGTAGAAGCCTTGAATCCCTGCTAAATTGCTAACTGAATGTCCTTGGGTAAAAACAATTGCTCTTTCTCATTCTTTGTTTACTGAACTATAAAACAAAGAAAGAACTATGATAAATCAAATGCAATCATGTATTAAATTTTGCATAAAGTGTAAAGCTCTATGTATTTCAGTTATCATCTTCACTGTCCCTGATGCCTTTTTTGTTCTCTACTTGCCATGTAAAATAGTATTGTGGGTACTGTATAGTGAGGGTGGGCTGTCATATCACATCTTTACTCTATCTCCTGCCTGTGCTCTCTGACAAAAGTTTCAGAGAGACTTCAAATTGCAGTTCACAAAGGAATACTGCTTTAAGGTATCAAAGGGAAAGATTCTCTTCTATAAAGAGGTCCCCAAAATTTCAAGTAGATAATCTCATAACTCCATCTATCTAAAGAGTTGTGCACACAAGATCTGTGCCAATTTCTTTTTGACCAGTAGATATGCCTGAGACTGTGTCAGCCCTCTATTTCCCTCTGTAACCTTTCCTGGCATTCAGAAGTTGTTTGTCATCTATGAGCCAAAAGATGGTACCTGCTCCTCTGACTTTGAGGATTCATCTGGATTTGCTTCTTCATTTCCAGAATGCAAGCTCCACAAAGGATGGGCCAACCCATACAATATTCATCCCATCGCCATACTTTCTCTCTATTTCAAATAACAGTCACAAACTCCCAGAGGTGACAGGAACCATCAAAATCACCAAGTTAACTCTTACAATGTTCGACCAAGTACTTTATTATTTTTTTATTTTGTTATCATTAATCTACAATTACATGAAGTACATTATGTTTACTAGGCTCCCACCTTCACCAAGGCCCCGACACACACCCCATTACAGTCACTGTCCATCAGTGTAGTAAGATACTGTAGAATCACTACTTGTCTTCACGGTGTTGCATAGCCCTCCCCATGCCCCCGCTACATTATACATGCTAATGGTAAGGCCCCCCTTTCTTTTTCTCTGGCCTTATCTCTCCCTTCCCACCCATCCTCCCTAGTCCCTTTCCCTTTGGTAACTGTTAGTCCATCCTTGGGTTCTCTGATTCTGATGCTGGTTTGTTCCTTCAGTTTTTTTCTTTGTTTTTATACTCCAAATATGAGTGAAATCATTTGGTACGTGTCTTTCTCTGCCTGGCTTATTTCACTGAGCATAATACCCTCTAGCTCCATCTATGTTATTGCAAATGGTAGGATTTGTTTTCTTCTTATGGCAGAATAATATTCCATTGTGTATATGTACCACAACTTCTTTATCCATTCATCTACTGATGGACACTTAGGTTGCTTCCATTTCTTGGCTATGGTAAATAGTGCTGTGATAAACATAGGGGTGCATCTGTCTTTGCCAAACTGGGCTCCAGCATTCTTAGGGTAAATTCCTAGAAGTGGAATTCCTGGGTCAAATGGTATTTCTATTTTGAGCTTTTTGAGGAACCTCCATACTGCTTTCCACAATGGTTGAACTAATTTACATTCCCACCAGCAGTGTAAGAGGGTTCCCCTTTCTACACAACCTTGCCAACATTTGTTGTTGTTTGTCTTTTGGATGGTGGCCATCCTTACTGGTGTGAGGTGATATCTCATTGTGGTTTTAATTTGCATTTCTCTGATGACTAGTGATGTGGAGCATCTTTTCATGTGTCTGTTGGTCACCTAAATTTCTTCTTTGGAGAACTGTCTGTTCAGCTCCTCTGCGATTTTTTTAGTGGATTGTTTGCTTTTTGTTTGTTGAGGTACATGAGCTCTTTATATATTTTGGATGTCAACATTTTATTGGATCTGTCATTTATGAATATATTCTCCCATACTGTAGGGTACCTTTTTGTTCTATTGATGGTGTCCTTTGATGTACAGAAGCTTTTCAACTTGATATAGTCCCACTTGTTCATTTTTGCTTTTGTTTCCCTTGCCCCGGGAGATATGTTCATGAAGAAGTCGCTCATGTTTATGTCCAAGAGATTTTTGCCTATGTTTTTTGCTAGGAGTTTTATGGTGTCATGACTTACATTCAGATCTTTGGTCTATTTAGAATTTACTCTTGTGTATGGGGTTAGACAGTGATCCAGTTTCATTTTCTTACATGTAGCTGTCCAGTTTTGCCAGCACTATCTGTTAAAGAGGCTGTCATTTCCCCATTGTATGTCCATGGCTCTTTTATTGTATATTAATTGATCATATGTTTAAGTTAATGCCTGGAGTCTCTATTCTGTTCCACTGGACTGTGGCTCTGTTTTTGTGCCAGTACCAAATTGTCTTGATTACTGTGGCTTTGTAGTAGAGCTTGAAGTTAGGGAGAGAACCCCGCCCCCCTACATTATTCTTCCTTCTCAGGATTGCTTTGGCTATTTGGGGTCTTTGGTGTTTACATATGAATTTTTCCAAGTACTTTAATGTACAGGACTTTCTTCTTAAAACATGGAAAGGACAGTCAACATTCCCTTCATTTCAAGTGTGCCATGAATTTGGAAGACTGGTTTCCTGGAAAGATTCTGGCTCCAGAAGTTATAGGTACTCATGGCAAGAATATTCTATCCAAACACTGCTCCAAAATAGTTCACTGCCAAGTATAATGAAACGAGTTTTTATCTTCAAATTCCATGCTACACATTCTCCATGATGCCTATGTTTTTCATCCTTCATTTAAATGTAGACTATCTTCACAGGGCACTTCACAGATTAGAGTGAATTTACTTATTTCGTAGAGAACAGTAGAAACCTCATTAATAAGTTTTACTCTTGTTATATATTTTTAAAAAAGGATCAACTTTTAGAAACTTTCAGACTTCCAAATCTCCATGGGTGATGTAATCTATCTATTGAAATTTGTGATATGGGATACTAGGGAACTCACCTAGTCCCAGGTGCCCAAGTGGAGCAAATAAACTAAAGAAAAGAGATAGCATATCACTTCCATGCAAATAAATAAGTGAAGAAATACTCAGACAGCTTGATTCCATCCTCTACCACTCTAATACCCATGCCCTTTTGACAGTGGGGTCAGCTGCTAGTCCATGGCTTGCTGGGAGTGCATTCTATATGTGTGGTTGTGGGATTCAGTTGTTATTGCTTGAGGGACAGAAGCTTAAAGCTGTCATCCAGGATGGATCTCCTGTTGCGCCGTCGCTTTCTCTGTTGATGCTGGTACCAGACCACACCACCAAGAGCCAAAACAATGATCAAGAGAATGACACCCATGGCAATCAAGACAGAAGCAAACATCTCGATATCCTCTACAGGGATCTCCATGCCCAGCATCCTCACATTTTCTTCTCCAATGTCTTTGGAGATTACTGCTGAAATGGAACAATAAGAAAATAGGAACTCTGAGCTGGAGAGTACTCTAAAGTAGCACCTTTTGTACTAAGTCCTGGGATAAATATGTGTATCCAAATATGACAGAGGAGCTGTCCTTATCCCACAAAAGACCACTTGAGAAAGTCAGATTCAAAGGTTACAGAGAATCAGAGTGTAAGATACCATGGATGAAAATTCCTTAGGTATCATTGAGACCCCAATACTCCTATGGAAAGAGCTAAGACTCATAGTAGAACAGGCCTTGATATATTTCTTCAAACATATAAAAGACTAGGATGTAGAAAAAATATAATTGGATTTTGTTCACATGGTTCCATAGGATAGAACTGAGAGCAATAAGTGGAAATTCCAGGGAAGCAGTTTAACTCAGTAACCTAGCTGACAAATGCTCACTTTGGTTGTTGGACCATGAAAATAGCCTTCCACTGTGTAGCCTGGTTTCTCACTTCTTTGGGTCATGATAACACTGATGTCACCCTAATCTTCCCAGGTGAAACATCTAGTTGTCTTAGCTTCTGGCATAGAAACTTTTGATGTTCTCCACAGAGTAAAGCTCATACTCAAGCCAGGCATTCCAACTCTCAAACAGGTTCTAATCTACCTTTTTAGCCTTACCTACTACCCTTCAGCTAAAGCAACTCATTCTTTATTACAAGAATAGGTCATCTTCTTTCAGTCTTTTAAGACTTTCTGAATACCCTTCCTTCCTTCTCACCTTTCTATACCCAACTTAAATGTTACAGGTCTCTGTAAAGCTTTCTTTAATTCAGATGGAAGATAATAGTCCTTTCTTCCATGTTCTCCAAGTATCTGTACTCTTTGTGTTCCCACAGGTTACTTGCTTGGGACAAGGACTTTGATACCCCCTCAGTTCTGGACTTCAGTCAGGATCACCTTTTATAAAATGGGGTTAATAACCACACTTAACCATGAGGTTTATTGTGAGTTAATATTCATGAGATGTTTATCATTGCACCTAGAATATAGCAAATGCAAATAATTAAAAGCTGTTATTATTGCTTGGCCTTTCTTACAGCATATAAAATCCAGCATTTCATTCATTGTTTATTTGTCTCATTCCAATTTTAGATACAAATCTCTTGGAAAGTAGTAACTATGTCTTCATAGTTTCAGTGTTCCTGCAACTCAGTACATATTTGATTAATGCTATTACAGAATTGGGATAAAATCAAATATAATGAGTTCAAACAGAACCTGAAAAACATTCTGAGTTTACATTCTATGATTTCTCCTCTTGTTACCTTGGACAAATCATTTTTCCATCTGTCATTTTCTTATGTAGAAAATTACAAAGGTTTATTAGATCAACAATTTTAAGGTATTTTCCCCCACTATAGAACCTTTAACAAATAAAGAGCTTGTAAGAATCCATGCGTGTGTGTACACACAAATATGCACATATNTATATATATGGTACTCTATTCTCTCAGCCTCACCTTACCTCTACCCAACCCCTCCAGGACATATCCTAGTCCCCTGGTTGATACCTTATACGATACTTATGCAGATCAGTAGAACCTTTCCAAACACATGAAAAATCTTCCAACTAATTTGATGATCTCTAATGTCTCTTCTAGCTCTCATAACTTTCTGAATCTTTCTCAATCCAGGTAAAGATGGGGTGGAGCATAAAAGCACTATCTTGTCATAGGATTGGTAGGAAAAGAATCTCTAATTTCCTGAGGGGCAGAAATAAGTAGTTCCAAGAGTCAACTATTCAGTATTCCACAGATTCAAGAATAAAATTAGCTGGTACAAAACATATGATATTTGTTCTAGCTTCACACTGTTCCTGTGGGAATTTTTGTATCTCTTTTATAGCTCCTTTATACCCAGACCAGCAATACTTTGAATTTTCTTCCCCATCAGGCTGGAAGCTAAGATCAGCCTTCAACTGGGTATGAGGCTGTTTCCCCCAACTCAGGAAGCTGGGGGTAGGGGCTAGAAATAATCAGCCTGCTGAAGGAAGGTTAACTCTGGGTTCCTGGCTTCTGAAATCTTACAGATGCATCTTAGAAGCATCTCAGAATGCTTCCTACTAATATTGTGGTCCACATTTTGGTCATGTGCATCCCATCTTCTAAGGACACTGGACCTCCTCCCCAAATGCATACCACATATAACTACCCAGGCATCATTCTCCCTACCTTTTCTAATTTCATTTGTGATGGTGGTAGTGCTTAAGTGTTCTGGAGAAAAAAAAAGACAAGAGGTTAATACTGTTATTCTTTCTACTAATCCACAAGCATAACTTTAGGAGGTTGGCATTGGATGGAGGAATCTCTCTGTAGTATAAAACCAAAACGGAGGTGCCTAGAATTAAATAATTTATGATCAAAGTCAGTATTCATATGTGGGTTTGATTTTGAGTAGTAACACAAAATATGAGCAATATCATAGGCTTAACAGTCCAAAGGCAAGCCATACTTCTGTCATTATATACATATTTATTGGCATTTCCCTTATTGCTCATCTCATTATTGCTCTCTTTGCCAGCCTTTCCCACCCTCTCTTCAGGAAGCCCCTGCTCTTTGTCAAATATATATATCTCTACATATTCAACCTCTTCTTAATAACATTTCTTCCTTTCTTTGATTTAATGAGGCTGAACTCTTCTTTAAAGGCTATGCTTCCTTTTCATCCTTATCAATACTGCTCTGAGATTACTGTTCCTCCTTTTTTTGTAAAGATTTATCTCTTTTATAGGCACATCTGATTTATCTAGAAAAAACACCACCACTTCTTCTAACTGTGTACTCACAATTCTCTTCATTCACGGAAGTATTTGTTACCTAGCTCAGTCTTCCTATTCCTCAATTACCATCATGAATGTTGACCCTTCCAACCCTCAAGCCTCAAATTTTGGGGGCCTTTGAACTCTAACACTTTATATATCTACTCCAATTCTATTAGCCTGACCCATTGTGACATTGAACCTGTTATGCATAAATGTACCATCTCAGAAATCTAAAACCTAACATCAGCCTCCTATCCTTCCATGTTCAATGTTATTTATTCCATTTCACCTGTTATTACCCTCTCATATAGACCTCTAGCTTCTGGACCCTTCCATCTTATTCCCTACCTGCTTCATTCTGTCATTTTTCCCATGCCTGGTCAGGTTCGACTCCATGTTCTATCACTTCAACTACTATCTTACCAGGAGTGTTACAATCATCTATTGAAACCCAGCTAACTACATGTTCCACATATTTAGGCTGATATGCTGAATGCTGGTGGAGAAAAATAAAACAATTGTTCAAGATCAATATTATCTGTTTCCAAATTTAAGCCCTCAGTGTTGCCTGGCAATAATTAATTAATTTCCTATCACTCAGAGTGAACATGTTTCTATTTACCAGAGTGGTTATTTCAGACCTTTGTCCTCTCTCCTCAAACCCCTAATCCGACCACCTATCCTTCACTTTGAGCAGATGATTCTGTGTCTTCCATCACAGATGAAACAAAGACCATAAGACAGAAATATTCCACCTTTCTGTCAAGTTAATCACCCAAACCTATACACTGATCCTTCTATGTTCTCTCTACTTTTAGTAGAAAAATATACCTTATTCCAGTATAACCTTTTATTTTAGTTCTGGTTTTCATCCCCAGATTTTTCACCAGAAGCATTCTTCCAACAATTAGTCTTTTATTCCCTGTCTGTTTTCAACTCTGTCTTCTGGTTGTCCTTTTAGCACACTTGTGGCTGGAGCAATATTAAATTAGATCATAGTTGGGTGTAAACAAAGAAAAAGGCAAATGGGTAACATTTATGGGCTGGCTCATTGTCATAGATAGATATGAGCTATCCTTATTCATGGAAGTTCCGTAATGGTATGTACTGAGGTAGTCCAGATTTAGGATGACCCATTATTACACAGACACAACCTGCTGTTTTGGACCTAAGGTATCTTGATGCCACACCAATTAAGCACTTGATTTTGGTTCTAAGGACTGACAGAACAGAACAAAGAATTCTGTGTGCTTATCTGGGTTGTGGGGGGTAATACTAGCATAGCAAGTGGAAGCCACATTCTAGCGGTATGGATTAACACAAAAAGTTTTTCAAAGACATAGGAAATCATAATGTACAATTATTTGTCCCCCTCCATGTGGGTAAATAGCAGAGTTGTGTTCTACCCTGTTAAGCCTGTTGGAATATTCCAAGACAGTTTCCCACTTTCCATTACTGCTGATACAGTGTCAATGGCTGGCAATCCCAGAACACCTATCTCAGTACCACCAGTTTTCAAAGCAGCATGACATTTTTTTAAAAGCACAAGATTTAAAAAATCCCCAGATTCCTGTGGGCTACCAGAGGTTTTATAAAGCCTCTTCGAATGGAGGTGATATTAAGAACTCATTCAGGTCAAGAACACTTAGAAGTGAGACACTTAACCCTATAATGACCCAAACACAAAAATCCAACATAACCTACCCTTCTATATTATTGCTGATGAACAAAAATTGACTGGTAAAGAACTACCCCAGTTATTCCCTCTTCATATGGAAAAATAAGGGAAAAAGCTTTTTCTGCTCTTAGTAATAACTCAGTCAGGGATAAGCTGTAAGTAAAGGCCAGTATCTCTTTCCAACCTTAGACAGGGCTGTTCCAGGGCAGAAATAAATGTCTTTCACAACCCCACAAAACAAATAAATCAATTGGTGACTATTAGAATTACATTTCTCCTTTTCTATTGAAAGACTCATTGACAAGATTTCTTAAATTAGTGACTCTAATGAATTGTAAAGTAATACACTTATATTAAAATTAAATGTATTTCAAAGGACGCAAATCTGCACTAAGCACCAATGCATAGAGACCAACCAGGTTCAGGCTGGGTCAATCTATGTGAGTTCAATAGGTATCAAAGCAATTGGGAGGGAGTAGGGGTGAGAGAGCAATGGAGAATAAGAAATACTGGCTGATAAAACACTGGGGGGTTAGGGCAATGCTTGTCTTAAGTCCTGGTTCTGGGATCAGAAGAAGAGTGCAAGAGACTTCTTGGAATTATCCAATTCCTATAAGCTAGATAAAGTGATAAAATATGGTCAATCTTGGTTAGTTAGGCCTTACCTCTTTGGGACAAGACAGTAAAGAGGGTCTCCATGCCAGCATGGACATGGTCAGTAACATGGCAGTGCATCAGCCATGTACCAGGGTTACTGGCCACCATCTCCACAACCTCAAAGGTCCCTGGGAACAGATCCACAACATCTTCCCGGTAACTCTCTCCATTCTGAAAGAGACACAGAGGGTAGGAGAGAGGAAGTTATAGGTGTAGAGATCATCTCAGAGGTTATAGGAACTAAAAGACTTGGATGACCACATAAGGATCATGTGACTCCAAGAGTCCACCTTACTCATCTCCCTTATGAATCCACCCATACAAACTGAATCAACAGAGGACACACTCTCTTACTTTTTTCTTAAAGTGTCCAAAAGTAGAAGACTTTCCAGCTTCCCTGAGTGAGCTAAAAACTAGTAACTACATACTTTTAAGCAGTCTGAAATATGGAGAATTTCATTTAAGACTTGACCCCTTAGAAGGAGCCACATACTTACTTGAGGAATGGAACTCAGTTTAGTTTCTCCTCCATGCTATCTCTTTTATCAGCACATACAGGTTTTTAAGTCTGTATCAAAGACTCCAACTCTGTCTCCTTTCCCTAAGACTAAATGTTCTTCAAAACCAACATGTTGTTCTATGAAGCTCATGAATTGAAGCTCTTTTTATAATGGATTAATAACTTTCAAATATTCTGGGATGACTGTGAAATCCCTTGCCCTAAGGACCACTGCTTATTGTGTCTCAAGTCCTTGACTGAGACCTAATTACATTGATTCCTTCAATTTCCTTATACCATAAATGACTATTTATTTATTCTATTATAGAGGACAAAAGCTAAGGCCTAGAGGGAAGTGACTTATCTCTAGAGGGAAGGGATCAGTCAAACTAGAATTCCCAGCTCAGTTCTCCATGTACAAAGACCTCTCCTATTTTAATTATTATCTTGTTCCTTTCTATTCACTTATTCCTCAAAGAATTCCTCCAATCACCCCTGAGGAACTCAGCTGTCTTTCCTACTTACCCGATAGATGAAGCTCTCTGCATGGAAGTGGACAGTATGTAGGTCAATATCTTGGCCCATGGCCAGCATGTACCAGGCTACTCTGTCTCCTTGGTACATGGTAAGACCTCTAAGGTTTGCATATAGCTTTCCATTAATGGCTGTAAAAGAATAAAAAGTCTCTTAGATATTTTCTTTGATTTTTCATATAAATAGAGTTGATATATAATATTATATTCATTTCAGGTATATACCATAGTGATTCAACAGTTACACATATTATTAAATCCTCACCCCAGCTAGTATAATTATTTTCTATCAATATAGAAGGATGTTACAAAACCACTGACTATATTCTCTATGCTGTACTTTCATCCCCATGAGCAATTTATATTATGATTGAGATTTTGTGCCTTTTTATCCCCCTCACCTACTTCATTCATCCACCCCAACCCCTCTCCCATGGTATTATGCTAAGTGAAATAAGCCAGGTGGAGAAAAGACAAATGCCACATGATTTCACTTATATGTGGAATCTAAAAACTGAAAAAATAAAATGAACAAAACATCAGTAGATTGTTATATCGCTTTTTGAATATCAACTGCCACTGCCCTCGGACTAATCCCTGTCATCTTTGATGATAGCAACGACCTCCAAAATTCTCTCATCTCTATTCTGTGTTTCCTCCTCCAGTCTGTTTTCTGCATTGATGTAATCAGAGTGGTCTCCTTAAATAACTAAACTGACTATGTCATATGCTGTTTAAAATACTTTAATATCTCCCTCCTGCCCAAAAGATCAAATCCATGACTTCTTACCTTGGCCTTCCAGCAAGGTCCTTCAAAATATAGCCCCAAACCACATTCCCAGATTCATCTCCCACTATCCAACACTTATTCCAATTAGGGTGATTTCTTCACTATCTTCATATGGTCCCATATGCATGTTATTTTTGCCTTTGCTCTTGTTTCTGATTTTCCCTCCTAGAAATCTTGCCTTCCTTTATCCACTCTTTCAAGGCCCAATCTCCTCTGAGAATGCTTCCTTGATCTAGATTATCTAAGTTCTTAAGTTCTTCTCATTCTCTGCATTCCCTTCTACCTCTGAACTTCTGCAGTTTGTACTCTTTGGAACTCACTAGAAACTGCCTTCTATTTTCACCTACCTTTTAATTTGTGGAAGTTCATATTCCCAACTAGATTATAGGTTCTTAGTGAGCAGGAGATGAATGTATATACTATGTACTATAGTACTACAGTTTCTTTGTATCCTTCAGAACACCCAGCAAAAACACCTGATCTTACAATGTGTTAAAGAAAAGACTTGTCACATTCTTGGAATTAATAATGATATCAATTCATGGTTCTCATCATCTGCCTCTTCCCAGAGCACATTCAATGCTCTAAAGTTGACAAACCACTCATTGCCATGCTGATTCACACCATCAGGACTATGTCCAGGGCACATTCCCTACTTCCCATGTTCTCACAAAAGGAAGGCAATTTTCACTCTACACACCAAGAGAAAAGTAATGGAACACTTATAGTCGGCCTCTGTATGTACCCCCTCCAAACTCTGAATTTGAGAGAAGGAACTAAACATGCTTAACTCAGCCCCTTCTGAATTGTCTTTCTCTTGTATTAGTCTGACAACAGAAAGGGGTAAAAAGCAATGAACTGTTTTATTATGGGAAGAAGTCTTCCCCTGCAATGGAAGACCATCATTCTCCATCTATATCAATGATAAGGTGAAAAATCTATCCATTTGTGGGGGAGTTTTAGTACGTCCATTTAGTTGCAGAACATAATTGTTTTCCAGTAAACCTCATTAAGCTCACATTTGATCTGAAGCAACTCTGTCTCTTTCTCACTTGATTCAGGAATCTAAAAGGGAAGGAAATTATTTATTTGCCCTCAGGCTCCAAAATTTATCTTTATATCTCCAGTACAAGAACTGAGTAAGTGCTAAACAATTTCCTGATAGATAGAAAGGTACACAGATTGATACCTGAAGAGTTTGAATGAATAAATGCAAGATGGAAATGGGCATTAGTCAACCTTTGTACTAACAATATCTCACTGTGTCCTCATTTCCATTTCTTTTTTTCTGGGTAATTTATTTCACTAATGTGACAAGATCTAAAGTGTTCACGTTGTCAAGTTTCAATGTAAATCACTCATATCTTCATCAAAGGAAAATAACTAGAATTTATGTCATAATGAGATACTACTTTTGAGTTCCATTACACTCACTATTAGAGCTGCAACTTATCCTCAGATCAAAGAAATATAGCACTAGAAGGGATAGTGAGAAATCAGTTCATACATTCCACTGCAATTAAGTTCTCCCTCTTACTGGATATTTTCTCCTGTTTTGAGAAGATACACAGATCTCTAGAACAAAGGAAGGCTTGGAAGAACAATTTCCCTTAAAAATTTGTTAGAGTATCAAGAAGTTCTCCCTTGTATGTAACATAAACCCAATATACTATTATTCTCTGATGCTTTCTCCTCTAATAATTCCATCTATAAATTAAACTTTTGTTTGAAAAATAGACAAGAGAGATTCAAGATGGAGGCGAGAGAGGTGAGATAGAGAACTCCTCCCAAAACCACAAATAGTATGAAAATATAGTTAATTAATACAAGTAAACCTAAAACAGCAACAAGAAAGAAGGCTGCACCAGACTGCATACAGACCTCACAAACAGAGCAAACCTCATGAAACACAGTAACATACCAAAGCCTTGATCTGGCATGACCAGGCCCTTCCACCATGCAGCTCACCAGAAGGAGGAAGAGAAACGGAGCAGGGGATGGGTTGGAAGCCTGGGACCTGCTGTACACCCATCCCTGGAAGTCTGCTTTGTGAGCAGAAACCTACATTGTGTGGTGCTCTGGAGGATAGGGAGCTGGGAAAGGTGGAGTGCTTGAGAGACAGATTCTGGCCCTTTGTGGAGGATGGGAGCCACACCCAGCTGATCTGGGAAGAGGGAAAGGAAGGTGATCTGAAAGGCTGCCTAACAGCAAGAGGGCTGCTGAAGGGGCAAGGTTTGCATGAGGCTTGCTGCCCTTGAGAAGGGATAGGGGGCCAACGTTGACTGAGCACACTGCACAGCAGATTGGGAACTTGGAGGAGCTCCAGGCACTCCATCCCCCTGGATGGCTGTTCAGCCCCAAGGCCCCCCACTGTGACATGCAGCTTGCCGAGACTTCCTCCTGGCCAGAGAGCACTGGCTTGCAAACCGGCAGTCACTGTGCTGGCATCAGACCAACCAGAGGGAGGCTCCACCTACAACAGCTAGAGAAACCAAGCAAAGAGTCTTACACCTGTGTACTTGGCCCACTGGCTCTGATATTGGACACAGCCACCACAGACGGGAATCAGAAAACATATCTTTCCTCCCTCCAGGCACCAGCTCTACTGCCCTATGACCACCAACTTCAATCTAGTGGCTGAGCAGCTCCAAAGACTGGAGCTTCTGGGCACTAGTGGAAACCACATAGAAATATGAAATGGCCAAAGAACCTGGTTCAGACCAAAATCTCACAAGCGCCGGAAAAAGGACCAAATGAAACTGAACTCACCAATCTTCCTGAAAGACAGTTCAAAATAAAAACCATAAACATGCTATGGAGGTACAGAAAAATATTCAAGAACTAAGGAACGAATTTAAAAGAGATTTAATCATTAAGAAATTCCATAGCTGAAATGAAACATACAATGGAGAGGTTTTAAAGCAGATCCAATATAGTAGAAGAGATGGTAAATGGAACAGCAATTAGAGAAGAGGAATACAAAGAAGCTGAGGCACAAAGAAAAAAGAATCTCTAAGATTGAAAGAATATTGAGAAAACTGTGTGATGAATCCACGTGAAACAATATTAGCATTATAGGGGTACCAGAAAAAGAAGCTAGAGAAAAAGGGATAGAAAGTGTCATGGAGGAGGTAATTGTTGAAAACTTCCCCAATATGGGGAAGGAGATAGTCTCTCAAGCCATGGAGGTGCACAGATCTCCCAACAAAAGGGACCCAAGGAAGATAACATCAAGACATATAATAATTAAAATGGCAAAGATCAAGGATAAAAACAGACGTTTAAAAGCAGCTAGAGAGAGAAAAAGATCACATACAAAGGAAAACTCATCAGGTTATCATCAGATTTCTCAACAGAAACCTTACAGGACAGAAGGGAGTGACATGATATATTTAATTCAACAAAGCAGAAGGGCCTTGAACTGTGATACTCTACCTTGCAAGGTTATCATTTAAATTTGAAGGAGAGATTAAACAATTTTCAGATAAGCAGAAGCTGAGAGAATTTACCTCCCACAAACCACCTCCACAGTGCATTTTGGAGGGACTCCTATAGATGGAAGTACTCCTCAGGCTAAATAGGTGTCACCCAAGGGATAGAGAAAGAGTACAGAATATAATTCAAAACAAACAAAGAATGGTGAAATAAGAAAAGGAGGAAAAAACAAAAGAACCTTTAGGTTTTGTTTGTAATACCATACAAAGTGAATTAAATTCGACTGTTAGATAGTAAGGGAATTACCAGTGAACCTTTGGTAACCACAAATATAAAGCCTTCCATGGCAATAAAAACACACCTATCAATAATCACCCTAAACATAAATGGTCAGAATGCACCAATCAAAAGACATAGAGTCAATGAATGGACAAAAGACAAGACCCATCTATATGCTGCCTACAAGAGACTCACTTCAAACCCAACGACATACACAGACTGAAAGTAAAGGGGTGGAAAGAGATATTTCATGCAAATAATAAGGGAAAAAAGCAGGAGTTGTAGTACTTGTATCAGACAAATAGACTTCAAAACAAAGAAAGTAAGAAGAGACAAAGAAGGATATTACATAATGATAAAAAGGTCAGTCCAACAAGAAGATATAACTATTATAAATATCTGCACACCCTATACAGGATCACCTACATATGTGAAACAAATACTAACAGAATTAAAGGGTGAAATAGAATGCAATGCATTCATTTAGGAGACTTCAACATACTACTCACTCCAAAGGACAAATCCACCAGACAGAAAATAAGTAAGGACACAGAGGCACTGAACAATGTATTAGAACAGATGGATATAACAGACATCTACAGAACAGTATATCCAAAAACAACAGGATACACATTCTTCTCAAGTGCACATGGAATATTTTCAATCAGATCATATACTAAGCCACAAAAAGAATCTCCATCAATTCAAAAACATTGAAATTGTACCAACCAGCTTCTCAGATCACAAAGGTATGAAACTAGAAATAAATTACAAAAAGAAAATGAAAAAGCCTGCAAACACATGGAGGCTTAATAATATGCTCCTAAATAGTCAATGGATCAATGAACAAATAAAAACAGAGATCAAGCAATATATGGAGATATATGACAACAATAATTCAACACCACAAAAAATCTGTGGGATGCAGTGAAGGCTGTTGTAAGAGGGAAATATATTGCAATACAGGCTTACCTCAGGAAAGAAGAACAATCCCAAATGAACAGTTTAAACTGACAACTTATGAAAAGAACCACTGAGGCTCAAAGTCAGTAGGAGTGACATAATAAAGATTAAATCATAAATAAATAAAATTGAAAAGAATAAAACAAAAGAAAGAATCAATGAAAGGAGGAGCTGGTTCTTTGAGAAAATAAACAAAATAGATAAACCCGTAGCCATATTATCAAGAAAAAAAGAGAATCTACACACATAAACACAATCAGAAATGAGAAAGGAAAAATCACTAGGAACAACACAGAAATACAAAGAATTATGATAGAATACAATGAAAAATTATATGCTAACAAACTGGATAACCTAGAAGAAATGGAAAACTTTCTAGAAAGATACAATCTTCCAATGCTGACCTAGGAAGAAACAGAAAATCTGAACAGACCAATTACCAGCAAAGAAATTGAAATAGTACTAAAAAACTATGTAAGAACAAAACCCCTGGTTCAATTGCTTTCACTGCTGAATTTTATCAAACATTTAGTGACGACCTAATACCCATCCTCCTTAAAATTTTCCAAAAAGTAGAAGAGGAGGGAATACTCCCAAACTCATTATATGAGGCCAACATCACTCTAATACCAAAATCAGGCAAAGACACCAGAAATAAAGAAAATTACAGACCAATATCCCTGATGAACATTGATGCTAAAATACTCAACAAAATATTACCAAACTGAATTTGAAAATACATAAAAAAGATCATCCATAATGATCAAGTGGGATTCATCCCAGGGATGCAAGGATTATATAACATTTGAAAATCCATCAACATCATCCACTACATCCAAAAGAGAAGGAAAAAAACTATATGATCATCTCCATAGATGCTGAAAAAGCATTTGACAAAATTCAAAAACCATTCATGATAAAAACTCTCAACAAAATGGGTATAGAAGACAAGTACCTCAACATAATAAAGGCCATATATGACAAACACACACCCAACATTATACTTAACAGTGAGAAGCTGAAAGCTTTTCTTTTAAGATCAGGAACAAGACAAGGATGCCCAATCTCCCCAATTTTATTCAACATAGTTCTGGAGGTCCTAGCCACAGCAATTAGACAACACAAAGAAATAAAAGGCATCCAGATTGGCAAGGAAGAAGTCTAACTATCACTGTTTTCAGATGACATGATATTGCACTTAATCATCCCTAAAGAATCCACTCCAAAACTCCTAGATCTGTTATCTGAATTCAGCAAAGTTGCAGGATAGAAAAGTAACACACAGAAATCTTTTGCAATCCTATACACTAATGATGAACTACCTGTAAGAGGAATCAGGAAAACAATTCTGTACACAATTGGATCAAAAAGAGTAACATACCTAGGAATAAACCCAACCAAGGAAGTGAAAGACTTATACTCTGAAAACTTTAATACACCCATGAGAGAAATTAAAGAAGAAATCAATAAATGGAAACACATCCCATGCTCATGGATAGGAAGAATTAATATAGTCAAAACGGTCATCCTGCCAAAAGCAATCTACAGATTCAATGCAATCCCTATCAAAATTCCAACAGCATTCTTCAATGAACTAGAGCAAATAGTTCTAAAATTCATATGAAACCACAAAAGACCCGGAATAGCCCAAGAAATCCTGAGAAGGAAGAATAAAGCAAGGTGAATTATGTTCCCTGACTTCAGCTCTAGTAGAAAGCCACAGTAATTAAGACAAATTGTTACTGGCACAAGAACAGTCCCTTAGACCAATGGAACAGATTACAGAGCCCAGATATATCCCAAGTATGTATGGTTCATTTACATACGATAAAGGAGCCATGGATATACAATGTGGAAATGACAGCCTCTTCAACAGCTGGTGTTGGCAAAACTGGACAGCTACATGTAAGAGGATGAAACTGGATCACTGTCTAACTCCATACACAAAAGTAAACTCAAAATGGATCAAAGACATGAATGTAAGTCATGAAACCATAAAACACTTAGAAAAAACAGGCAAAAGTATCTTGGACATAAACATGAGCATCTTCTTCATGAACGTATCTCTCTGGGCAAGGGAAATAAAAGCAAAAATGAACAAGTGGGACTATATCAAACTAAAAACTTCTGTACAGCAAAGGACACCATCAGTATAACAGAAAAACATCCTATCATATGGAAGAATATATTTATAAATGACATATCTGATAAGGGGTTGACATCCAACTTATATAAAGAGCTCACGCACCTCAACAAACAAAAAGCAAATAAGCCAATTAAAAAATGGATGGAGGAGCTGAACAGACAATTCTCCAAAAAAGAAATACAGATGGCCAACATGCACATGAAAAGATGCTCCACATCCCTAATCATCAGAGAAATGCAAATTAAAACCGCATGAGATATCACCTCACACCGGTTAGGATGGCCTACATCCAAAAGACAAACAACAACAAATGTTGGTGAGGTTGTGGAGAAAGTTCCTACACTGCGGGTGGGAATGTAAATTAGTTCAACTGTTGTGGAAAGCAGTATGGGGGTTCCTCAAAAAGCTCAAAATAGAAATACCATTTGACCCAGGAATTCCACTCCTAGGAATTTACCCTAAGAATGCTGGAGCCCAGTTTGACAAAGACATATGCACCCCTATGTTTATTGCAGCACTATTTACAATAATCAAGAAATGGAAGCAACCTAAGTGTCCATTAGTAGATGAATGGATAAAGAAGATGCGGTGCATATACACAATGGAATATTATTCAGCCATAAGAAGAAAACAAATCCTACCACTTGCAACAACATGAATGGAGCTAGAGGGTGTTATGCTCAGTGAAATAAGCCAGGCAGAGAAAGACAAATATCAAATGATTTCACTCTTCTGTGAAGTACAAGAACAAAAAAAACCTGAAGGAACAAAACAGCAGCAGACTCACAGAAGTGAAGAATTGACTAACAGTTACCAAAGGGAAAGTGACTGGTGGGGATGGGTGAGAAGGGTGGGATAAGGGGGAAATAGGGGCATTACGATTAGCATGTATAATGTGTGGGAGGGGAAAAGGGGAAGGCAGGATAACACAGAAAAGACAAATAGTGATTCTATAGCATCTTACTATGCTGATGGACAGTGACTGTAATGGGGTATGTGGTGGGTACTCAATAGTAGGAGGCGTTTAGTAACCGTAATGTTGTTCATGTAATTGTACATTAATGATAGCAAACTAAAAAATATAGACAATAAGTCATACTGTCCTTTATCTGTATATTTTGGAATCTTTTGAGAAAGATCTCAGATACAGAGTGGTAAAATAATAAGATGATATTAAGAGACTAAAATCAGGATTTTGAAGTACAGGGTCTCTAACCAGCCAGCTTACCAGGCACAATAAGGGTCATAAATGTCCATCTTGCCTTCTCTAATATGTTAAAATGTGCTTGTGTTCCCACAACAACTTTACATAACCAGCTTCCTGATTTCTGGGCACTTGATTTAACGTGGACCACATATCTTCCTTTTATATATAAATGTACAATATGAGGAGAAATTCCTTCCAGTTTGTCCCCGTTCCCTCTTCCTACTTTCCCAGCTTTTCAGGAATTATGCTATCTCAGGTACTGATAGGCCTATAAGATAGCCCCATGCTACCAGTGAGGACTTCTTTGGAAGAGAGATAGGTTCTTTTCTACAGACCATGCATTTTATTGCTCTCCATGAAAGTCTCATCCTGTAGGTTAACACGGCCTGGCTCCCAGGACCCATGGGATGCCACATTCTCCTCCAGATACCAAGACTGGTTTTCATCAAAGATCAAGAATAACAAGGCAAATTCTTGGTCCATGTCACTCCGTCCTCCATGGGGCTCCAGGATGCCCTTTCGGCAGATGGCCAAAGGCCCCACCAGGCCACTGTACATATCCTGAGGATTTAAGAAAGGGGGTGAGAATAAAAGATAAGGGGTTGTTCCTGTGGGGGAGGCAGTGCTTCACAGGCAGCCAGGCTGACATCCAAGCCCACTGTGCTCTCAGCACTTCATAATAATTTCTTCATCATAACCTCTACTATGTTATCTGAATTCATCCTGACAAATATATAGAGACATAGATAAGATGCACTAATTCAATTTATGCTTTAGCTAGGTTGAACTAGTCATTGATCGCCAAACCCACCAAGTATTTTTAAAATCCAGGGCCTTTTCTCATTCTGTTTCTCCCGCCTCTATTGTATTTCCCTCTTCAATACCTCTTATCTTATGGCACACTACTATTCAACTCAACGTGCATGTACCTTCCATTGTAGTACCTTCTTTAACATCCCTCCTGCCCATCCTCTCCTTCAAAAACCTCTATTATGTGGTTTTAAGCAGCTGATCATATTATACTATATTTAAAATGTATTTTTGTTATAAATGGCTAATATTATATTTATATTTCTCTGTCTCCTCCAACTAGATCATACTCTTTGACAATGGGAGCTGTACCTTGCATCTGTATCATCCAGAGCACCAAGAAAATACCAAAAATGTAGTAGGCTTTCAATAATCATTGCTGACAGCTCTCTGTGGATGAGTGGCTAGATTGATAAACCAATTTTTCATATGAGAAAATAGGAAGAATGATTTGTCTAAAATCACTGCAGAGGCAAGATAGAACCAAATTTGAGACTGGAACCCAAATCTACTGACAACAAATCCTAGACTTTTAAAATGAGAACATATTGACTTAAAAGATCCAAGAAGAAGAAACAAGGAAGGAAATCCTCAGAACAAAGATGATGTTACCTATTCCCTTTATTCTTCCTCCTGCTTATTAAATTAAGCCCAGCATTTAAGAAAATTCATCCAAATCCTGGTCTCTAGCATTTCAGGGCTGCACTTTTTACTATACCTGTTTAATAACTTCTTTTTGTCAGGCAGTATGAAAATTTCTGAGACTAACCTTCAGGAAATCAATATTGTCTTTACCTTGATAGGATCCACTGCAGAATAATAGATCCAGGAAACACAAGCAGAATCATTGGGCCCTGGGCCAGATCTCTCTGGGATGTTCCATTGGTAAGTAAGAACCTCACCTACAAAGGGTAAGAGAAATCTCCAGTAGGGGTTAATCAAAAGTTAATACCAATTTCCAGGTCTCCCCATGAGGATGTAGTAGGTGAGTCCTAGGACCTTTAAGAACTTTCTCCATCATTTCTATACAGGTCTCCGTTTTTTGTAACTCTTTTCTACCTCCTTGGACACCCTCAGTATTTCTCTTACTGTGCCTATTTTAAATACCCAGGACCATTCATTTACTAAGGCAGCTATGCTACTGTTCTCTTTGCTTATAATGTCTGCCATTTTGGGTTCAGTTGTAGTTGCCTCTTCCTGCTGCTGCCCCTATACGCAGATATTTCCCCAAGGCTCTGTCTCAGACCTTTTCTCCTTCTTTATACTCTCTCCATGGAATATTTAAGTCACTTTTCTCATGTCAATCATGATCAATGTATTGGTGTATAGCCAGACATCCTGGTCATTAAGCTCCAATACAAAATTTTCAATTAGATACTGGACATCTTTTGAAGATTGTCATGATAGCACATCAAGAACTAAAATCATTATGAACTCACTTTGCCCCTTTTAGAAAAAAACTGTTACTCAAACTGTACTGCCAAGTGTCTAGTAATGACATCAAAACTCTCCTAGTCACTAGTCTCAAAACATTAATCTTTGTTTCCCCATCAGCATCCAAACAAATGGTAATCCCTACTGATTGTACCTCTACAATAAATTTTATTGCCATACTACCTTCTAATTCCCAACACTCTTGCCTTGGATTAGACCCTTATTTTCTGTACTGGCCTATTACAAAGCCTCATAACATGTTACTCTGCCTATAAATTTGCAGTCTCCAATCCATCTTCCAATTTATGCCATACTAATTTTTATAATGGCTTTGTGAAATATAATTTGCATACCATACAATTTGCCCACTTAATGTGTATAGTTCAATAATCTCTAGTATAACTACAGAATTTTGTAATTATCACCACAATCAATATTTTAAAAATCATTACCACCAAGAAAATCACTGCACTTCTTAACCATCATTCACTAATCCACCCACTCATTTAAACCCTGGGAAACCAATTATACAAGAGGGACGTCAGCAAGATGGCAAACTAAGGAAGTACCAGTGCTTGTTTCTATTCACAAAAATAACCAAAACAAGGATTAATAACTATATACTCTCAAAAATAGCCCTATGACAGCTAAAGAATACTAAAACCTGTAGCAGCCCAGTGAAACAATAAAGCTAAAGATGTCTATACAGAAAAGTATAGGAAGTACCTTATCTACATCACATCAAAGTGGCATAGCTGATGGCAAGAGGGAACCCCCGTGGGAGAAAAGGACAGAAGGAAGAACTTCCAGACCTCACCACCAGCCAATATTTCTTGACACTGACCTAAGATGCCTGGAGTCAATGGCCATTTACCACCTTAATAAGGAAGAGCCATCCCCTTTCTGCTCAACTGAAGAAGAATCTGTAGGTGTTCTAAGCCCCCAGAATGAGCTGCCATCACCTCAACTCCAATGAAGGAGTCTCCACCACCCTGCTTTTCCAAAAAGCAGCTGCTTCCCTGCTCCCTACCCAAGAAGCAACCTATAATCTACCCTCTTCAAAAAGAAACACAAGTGATTTGCCTTTGGCTCCACAAGGAACCACTGTTTCTGTGCATCTCCAGAGAACGAGCTGCCACTGCTCCATCATCTTAGAAGGATCCACCACCACTGCATTCTCCTGAGAAGGAGCTGTTGCCACTCCTTGCTCCCACTATCCAGAAGGAACTGCTGTCCTTCTGCCCCATCCCCCTGATAAAGAACTATCAATGCAACATTCCCCAGGAAAAGAAACCACTGATGCTCTACCCTCCACTGGAAGAAGACACTGTTGTTCCACAGCCCCCAAAAAAGGAACTGCTTAAACTCTCCAACCAAAGATCCACTGGCATTCTATTTCCACAGAAAGATCACCAACTCCCCCCAAGAATGAGCCACTGATGCCCACTTCCCTCACAAGAAGCCAGCACCTGTGTTCTCTCAAAGAAGGAGCCACTGCTGGATGCTACACTACAAGGAGCTGCTGCCACTCAGCTCCCGAAAAGGAGCTGGCTATGCTCTGGCTCCTTTACTCAGAAGGATCCACTGCTGCTCCACCCCACTGGAAGTAGCTACCACTTGGTCCTTCATACCAAACAGGAGTTGCCCCACTCCCAAGACATTTACACTACCACAGCAGTGAGTGGGTCCACACCACATAATTCTGTAGCCACAGTGACTTCATGTACATTCCGGACACAACATCCAGAGTTGCTGGATATGCACTCATAAGTTGGACATGGTGCCAAGAGGGATATCATCAGCCATGACTCTGACTTATGGGGGAGAAGCGAGCAGGAGGACTCAAATGTCTTTCACCATTACTACAATAGCTCTTTCTATTACTGTAGACACCTCCAAAGTTGATGACAGAGACCTGCAATATTCACTGACACCAACCTCAACTGATGGAGCTGCAAGGAAGCTATACCTCGTGCCATCCCCAGAGACAGAACCAATGCTGAACATCCACAGAGTCAAAGCTACTGCACCTCACTCTGCTGGCACCCTTATACCCAACCATAGGTGAAGGTATTTCTCCATGGAAACAAGCCCATAAATTCTGGAAGACATGACTGATCCCTCAAAGACAGAGATCAAATAAAGGCCAAAAGAAACATAAAAAATCAAGTAAACATAACACTCCTTGAACAAGTCTCTTTTGAACATTCTCTATTATATTTTCTACTTCATTCATATTTTACTTTCAGAATATCTATTTGTATATTTTAATATTTTTTATCTCTGTTGAACTTTCTGTTTTGTTAATGTATTGTTTACCTGATTTTGTTGACTTGTCTGTTCTACTAAATATGCCTTATGAGAAATGCATAAGGAAGCTCTTCAAATCAAAATGAAAACATGCTAGACAGCAACACCAAAGCAGAAGAAAGTGTGAATCTCACTAGTGAAGGTAAATATGTAGACATATATAAATTAATGTAATACTGTAATAAGAACAGTGCATAAATTCATTTTGAAACTAATTTAAAAAGGTAGATGATAAAAATATGCAAATTGATGTATAATATATAGAGAAGCAAACTGACTGCAAGAGCACAAAGTGTGGAGGATAGGAACTAAAAGTGTTTTTGTATGCAAATGAAATTAAATTGTTATCATTTTAAAGTGCATTATAACTACAAATATTTTATGCAAGCTGTGAATAGACACAAAGAAATGATAAATACACAAAGGATAAACAGAAAAGAGTCAAAGCAAATCACTACAAGATATCATGAAATAAAAAAGGAAGACAGCAAGTGAGGTAATAATGGCAAAATTGACAGAAAACAATGAATAAAATGGCAGTAGTAAATCATTGCTTATCAATAACTACCTTAAATGTAAATGGATTAAAACCATCAATCAAAAGGCATAGAGTACTTAAATGGATAATCAAAAAGCAAGATGCAGCTATATGCTGTCTACAAGACACTCACTTTAGTTTTAAAGATACACTTAAGTTGACAGTAAGGGGATGGAAAAAGATATTTCACAAAAACGGTAACCAAAAATAAATAAGAATTGCTATACTTATATCAAAGAAAATATATTTTAAGTCTTAAACTGTCTAGAAACAAAGAAGGTCATTATATAATGATAAAAGGGTCAGTTCAACAATAATATTTAACTATTATAAATATATACATATCCAAAATCAAATCTTAAATATGTAAAGAAAATATTGAAAGATATAAAGGTAACATTGACAGAAATACAATAACAGTAGGACATATCAACATCCTACTTAAAAATGTGGATAGTACATCTGGACAGAGAATCAATACAGAAACATGACTTAAAAAGCACTATACAGGAAGAGAGAGGAAAAGATGACAGTGTGAGCAGAGTGGCAGAAATCTTCTCCCAAAATCATATATATTTTGAAAATACAGCAAATAGAACTATTTCTATAAGAGAGACCACAAGTTACAGTACACCATCCAGTCTACATCTGTGAAAGCCCAACATCTCATGTAAAGGGTAAGATACAAAGCCATGACCAAGTGGGACCAGAGCACTCCCGCTGCACCAGCTCACCAAAGGGAGGAAAAGACTCAGAGTGGGGAGGGAGTGGAAGCACAGGACTGCTAAATAACCAGGCCAAGTAATCTGCCCCAGGAGCACAGACACACATTGCATGGTGCTCTGGATATTAGAGGAGTGGAAAAGCAAAATCTGAGACTAAGACTGAGAACAGATTCCCACAGCCAGCTGTGCTTGAACAAAAGAAAAGCAGGTGCTTTAAAAGTCTTAAAGGGACAGAGGTTTAAAAGGTGGACAAAATCGTCCTGGAGCATTCATCCCAGCAGGCTGGGAACTTTAAGGAACTTCATGTGCCCTATCCCCCTGGTTGGCAATCCAGCTCTGAGGGGCCTCATGGCAATAAGCAGCCTAACATTCCTTCATCCTTGCCTGCACCTGCAAGCAAACCGGCTGTCCCTGCCATTGCTGCAGACCAGCCAGAGAGCAGCCGCATCTACAGCAACCACACAGTTTAACAGAGAGGCTTCTGCCTGTGCAGCTAGCCAGCCCAGACCCATGCACTGCTCCATGCACACTGTTGTCAGGAACAGACAGCAGGGAGAGATGTGGAGACTGGGAGGCACAAAGGAGCTTTGTTCTTATGCCAGAACACACACTGCTTGCCTGCAACCCCTGTGAGTGCCCTTAGCCATCCCAAGTGTCACCCCAAACATGGCAGCTTAGGGGATTAACCCAGAGACTACTCCCTGCAGGCAGTTGACAGGTGGAGGTGGGCAAAGAAGGAGACAATGAAGCACGAAAAGCCTCTGTTCTCATGGCAAAACATGTGCTGTAGGGCTGCAAACCCTACCAAGTGCCCTAGACCATCTCAAGGGTCTCCCTGCCCATGGGAGCATAGAGGATTAACCCAGAGGCTTCTTCCAGCATGCAGTTGACCAGC